GTTTTTTGTTCTTCTTTCTCGAATTGCTTTAGGTGTAAGGTTAGGTTGTTTATTTGAGATGTTTCTTGTTTCTTGAGGTAGGACTGTATTGCTATAAACTTCCCTCTTAGAACTGCTTTTGCTGCATACTATAGGTTTTTCAGTTGTCACGTTTTCATTGTCATTTGTTTCTAGGTATTTTTTGATTTCCTCTTTGAGTTCTTCAGTGATCTCTTGATTATTTAGTAGTGTATTGTTTAGCCTCCATGTGTTTGTATTTTTTACAGATCTTTTCCTGTAATTGATATCTAGTCTCATAGCATTGTGGTCAGAAAAGATACTTGATACGATTTCAATTTTCTTAAACTTACCAAGGCTTGATTTGTGGCCCAAGATATGATCCTGGAGAATGTTCCATGAGCACTTGAGAAGCAAGTGTATTCTGTTGTCTTTGGATGGAATGTCCTATAAATATCAATTAAGTCCATCTTGTTTAATGTACCACTTAAAGCTTGTGTTTCCTTATTTATTTTCATCTTGGATGATCTGTCCATTGGTGAAAGTGGGGTGTTGAAGTCCCCTACTATGACTGTGTTACTGTTGATTTCCCCTTTTATGGCTGTTAGCATTTGCCTTATGTATTGAGGTGCTCCTATGTTGGGTGCATAAATATCTAGAATTGTCATATCTTCTTCTTGGATTGATCCCTTGATCATTATGTAGTGTCCTTCTTTGTCTCTTGTAATAGGTTTTATTCTGAAGTCTATTTTGTCTGATATGAGAACTGCTAGTCCAGCTTTCTTTTGATTTTCATTTGCATGGAATATCTTTTTCCATCCCCTCACTTTCAGTCTGTAGGTGTCCCTAGGTCTGAAGTGGGTCTCTTATGGACAGCATATATACGGGTCTTGCTTCTGTATCCATTCAGCCAGTCTATGTCCTTTGGATTAAAATTTAAATTTAATCCATTTAAATTTAAGGTAGTTATCAATATGTATGTTCCTATTACCATTTTCTTAACTGTTTTGGGTTCGTTATTGTAGGTCTTTCCCTTCTCTTGTGTTTCCTGCCTAGAGAAGTTCCTTTAGCATTTGTTGTAAAGCTGGTTTGGTGGTGCTGAATTCTCTTAACTTTTGCTAGTCTGTAAAGGTTTTAATTTCTCCATCGAATCTGAATGAGATCCTTGCTGGGTAATCTTGGTTGTAGGTTTTTCCCTTTCATCACTTTAAATAGGTCCTGCCGCTCCCTTCTGGCTCGCACAGTTTCTGCTGAAAGATCAGCTGTTAACCTTATGGGGATTCCCTTGTATGTTATTTGTTGTTTTTGCCTTGCTTGGGCATTAGATCTTAATACACCCTTTCTTCAAAGTTAAAATTTTTCTATTCTCTAGACCTTTATCGAGCATGACATTTTCCCCTGGCATACTCTATATCTGTCATTTTAACTTGGAAAAGTGATAAAACTTCAGTTTGAAAAGAAATTCATTTTAATAATTTCCTGTCCACTAGAGGGCTCCAACATTTCTTCCACAAATGTTACAGATATGACATTACAATAAAAATATTCATTAAGCACTGAAAAAACTCAAATTATCATTAGCTCACTTAACCCCAGACTAAAAATGGTTACATCTGCTACAATTTTACATTAATAGTTTTAAAAGATACACGGTTTTCCTGTATTTTATCATCTAAAACATTTTGAATAACCAAAATTGCTTTGCCATTATTCTCACACTAATTGTCAATGTCTCTCTTAGGTACGGTTTTCAATTTTACAGATATCATAAAGTATACTTTCAGTCCAAAGCTCTAAATAGTAGTTCAAATGTCTTATATAATAGTTTTATAAATACAATAATTTATGTCTTGATAACTTTCCAAATCCAGAAAATTACCAGCTTATCCACCCAGCCTTAGGCTTTATTACTAACAGAAAGAGTAAACATTTTCTTTCAGAAAAACCTAAGTCATTAACATAATTCATGCTACAATTATAAACAGTGAATACTGCCCATCATAAACTATGATTTGCACTGAGGCGAAAAAAATGAATCATTTAAACACAATGTATTATAATGATATTCTGTTCAGATATTTTCAGATTTTTCTCACAAATAAGTTATTACACTGGAATGTTAGTAAATCTCCTAGTTCAAACTCAATCACTCTTAGCAAAGGAAAAGCCAACATTTTAAGTAAACACATTTATATAATTTATAGGACATCTTTACAGAATGTTCATTGGAAAAATATCAACTGCAAATTATTTTTTGTAAAGAATATAGCAAATCCATTCACTGGGGGTACCACTCCCACCCATCCTCAAAAGACTGACTTGCTAAATTTGGATTGTAAGAAAAAGAGACTACTTATGGTAAACAAAAAAATTTACTGAATGTTTAAAAATAAATTTTAAATGTTAGTTATATTTACAAAATAAAAAAGTGATGCTAAAAAATCGATTTTAGAGTCAAAATAATTGCCGTAAGAAGACTTTACCAAAAACATCAAATGATTTAGCAATTATTATAGCTCATTTATGAACTATCTCCAATGAAAACATGACAGGGGTTATAACTTCACTGCCCCACCTCGTCTCCTAAACAGGATTTTCCTATACAACTGACAGGCACCGTTAACACGTGAAACAGCGTAACATTTGTTTCTAAATAGCACATACGAACTGTCGCCACTGAGAAACTTGACATTTTTACTGCATCTAGCAAAAATGTATGTATTCGTACTTGCAAGAGTGTGTATCCTGATCACTTTAGAGTTGTACTTCAAGGGAAATGTCAGAGTGTGGAAAGAGGTGGGAGTGGACCGGCTGACGCTCTCCAAGAGTGGTAAAAGTCTTCTCACTTTAAGTCACAGATGTAAATGCAGATTGTCAATTACTGATAATAAAAAGTTGAACAAATATGAAGCATTTAATCGACAACTTTCAACCAGTATTTATCATGTCATATTTCAAAAAGTTGAGGATTCTAGGTACATATCAAATAAAAGCACTTCTTAAGCAAAAATGCAATGTAAGTACTAGCAAATGAAGGTTTAAAAGGTTTTAACGCTGGAAAAAGCCCTCAAGACCTCCAACAAGTTGGACAGCTAGAAAATGACACATAAAAAATATTCAGAACCATCTAATCTGAGCTGTACCTTAGATACACTCTGAAATAGCATCACCAGGGCATTATATGTTTATTACATAATACTGCTTTGCCCTTGCATATCACCTTTAATCAAGGGATCTCAAAGCACCAAAGAATCATCAAGGCCTTAAAATACAGTCTGAAACAGAAATAGTTGTATTTTATAACTGCAGCTATTAATAAAACCTTGCACTACTTCCCGGTCCCCTGATATGAACACTAGCTTCCAAACCTTCTCTCTGACTTGGAAACAGTATTCCCCAAATCATCTCAATTTGTGACTGATGCTACCCGCATTCCAGCTTTTCTTCATCACTGGGCCTAAATAAAGTTGTGGCACTGTTTTAATGACACAAATCTATTTCACGACAACTTCTGTGACAGATAAACAGTACAAAGGGTGATCATATCTCACAGTGCGCATGATGATATAAGATGGAGGCTTTAGAGAGAGAGCCAATCTTTGCTGGAGGTGATGAGCCCACAGAGCAATTATCCAACAGAGGAAAGAGCATTTTCCAGCTCCGTCCAGAGACCTCTCCAGGCAACTTCGCGAGTAGGGTGGAGGAAATCAAGTCCAGCTATCCTTAGGCAGGCCGGAGACTATTCTCCGGTGTGCACACCAGGAGGGAAGGGAAAACTAAAAGGACAATGCTCGAGTCTTAAGAATCAGGAAGGAGAGTGTAAGGTTGCTATGTGGCCACCCTAGAGACAGAACACTGTGGTTCCTTTGCATTTAAATAGTGCACTAAAAGGGAAATCAAACGCTAGCAAAATGTCTTTAAACCAAGGTCAAATTATGCCAGTTAGAGCCATTTAATTTTTATTTTACAGCCTGTAAATGAGGTTCACTCTTATTGAAACATCTGTCATTTTAAAATTTAATCACCAGGAAAGTTCAATTTTGTTTTTTCGCTGAAATATACAAACACTCAAATGTTAACTTCATGTAAGTGAGCATAACTATGTTAACTTCAATTCTTTCATAAACAAGATTATTCACCTTCCTGTTAATTGCATTACGTTTGTCCCTAGGACAGCAAAGTGTAATTTCACACTCATACAAACCCACCTCCCAGCACTGTAAACCTCCACAGTTCCTGTTAGTCAACAGTCTCATATCCTTAACCTTTATGCAGAGTACTTTTTGTTTCAGGTTCTTAACATTCCAGTATGAAGGCTCAATCAATAATATGTTTTATGAGCTTTTAAAAGTCCAGTGATGTAATACTACTAAATATTTGGTACTAAAAGTCCTGGAATATTCATTCAAAGTACCAAAATACAGCCAGCCTAGATTTGTGAAAATTCCAAAACGTCTTAATATTTCTGTTGCCATACTTGCTCACCCATACGTTTCAAAAAGCTCACAGCAAATTCTGGTCAAGTCTCTCTCCAAGAGATAACACGTCCCTGTTTTTGGAAATATCAAGCTTGTACCTACTGCGTTAATGATCAGTGCCACCGAGCACGATCCCCGTTTTCCTGTCCACCTCTGTATCTAGCAGGGACACCCGTCCTGAGCTCTGCCCACTGCCACTGACGTTTTCAGAAGCTTTAAAGACACAAGTGTTCAGAGGCTTCTAGCAAAGAAGAAGAGATTTTCTCCACTTCAGGCTACCTTGCTACGTGTTCCCAACTTCTCCATTGTCTTTAATCATTTAGAAAACACAAATGAGAAAAATCCGCATTAAAAGCAGTACTTTCTCAAGAGGGACACCAGACCCTCCAACTTCTCCAGATCTCCCAGCACCGTGGCTTTTCAACAGTCCCCCGCAAACCTTCACCCCACGCCTGTATCCTGATTTAATAAGACTGGCAACCACAATTAAATCAAAGGGTGTCGTAACTCTTATCCTTCACTTACCATATCCGCCGGGACATTACTGGACATCTTGCCGTTTGATATCTATACCCAGATGTTTACGCCGAAAAAAAAAATCAAAAAGAGACAACAACAAACAAAAAAGAGAAATCTTCGAGCTACAGAAATCAACCTTCACGATCTTGACTGGTTCGAGATGTGCTTCCCCCTAAAATAAGTTCTTTCGGAGCCAAAGTGCCGGCCGGGCCGAGGTTCCGAGCGAAGAGGAACAATCGCCGGGAGCGGTGTGGCCAGACCAGGAGGGAACTCCTGGGGTAGCAGCCCCGTCGTCGTCGTCAGCAGCAGCAGCCCCAGGACCGGCCGCGCCAGGTGGACCGAGCTGAGTGACACACGGACATGGAGCGGGGTGGGAGGGGGTTAAATCGTCTTCCTCCTTTCCCAGCCCGGCAGTGATTCACACTTGCTCCCAAGTCGAGTCTTCATTAAGCAGGAGGAGAATGCCCCGGCGCCGCGGTACACAGATAACTATGTGGCTACACATGGACGCGTTCCCCGGCGGACGGCGCGGGGAAACGGCTCAACTCGCGCGGCCGGCGTTGCCAGCCGGGCCGCGGAAACCCGCGCTCAAGGGCATTTAACTCGTTGGCAGCCGAAGCGCAAGCCCGGGTCGGAGAGCCGGGGCGGCGAGCGGGGAAAGCGGGGCGCTCGGCCCGGCGGGAGACCCCACGGCCCGTCGGGGCTCAGGCCGCGGGCGCCTCCGGGCAGCCGCGGGGCTCAGGACACATAGTCTCCGGCTTCCCGGCGCTCCTCTCTCGCCTCCGCCTCCCCCGGCTCCGCCTTCCCCTCCCCTCCCTCGCGAGCTCCCCGCGACGCCGACTTCGGCTGGGCCCCGGAAGAGCCCGGGTCCTTCCTCTCCTCAGCCCGGGAACCGCTTCCTCTCAGAGCTGTCTCTCCTCCTCCTCCTCCTCCTCCACTTTTCAGTACCCTACGCCGCAGCCGCCTCCTGTCATCGCTCCTCAAGCCAACATGGCGGCGGCGGCGGCGGCGGCGGCGGCAGCTGCCGGAGCGCGAGTCGGGGACCTGGGAAGAGCACAGCCCCCCCTCGCAGCCGCCGCCCCCGCCTTCCTTCTGCCCCTCCCCCTCCGCGAACACCAAAGGCGTCACTACGGAGACCACCCTCGAGCATCACGGGAAGTGTAGTCTACGCCGGGGGGGGCGGTGCGGAGGGAGCGGGCCGCCTAACGCGTCCTCGCCCGACTCCGAAGCCACGCCCCTCCTAGCAACAGTTGCTAGGAGAGGAAAGCTCGCTTTAGCCAAGCTGCAGCAGGGAAGTTAGGAGATACCTGCTACCAGAAGTGCTGTGATCGTGGGAATTATTGGGCGAAAATTATTCTGCACAGGGAAATGCCCTCGTGCACAATATACACGCAGAGTTGAAACATGGTTTACCTCCAAGCAGAACCATTCATTTTTAAGGATAGCACGCTCTCCACATCCTGCAATCTCAAAGCATTTTGTATAGTGATTTCGTCTAGGTCTCTCCTCAACAATACATTTGGAAGATCAGAAGCATTGATTTCCAATAAGGTCATAGAAGTTCAACAAGAGTAAGGATATAGTTAAGCAGGGAGAATGTTGGAACATATGTTTCTTGAAGACCCAGGCCCATAAAGCTACAATCTAGTTAATTGAAATTACCAAAAACTGCATTAGATGCGATAGCGTATGAACCAAAAACTGTATTAGATACGATAGTGTATGATGCTAAATCTCTATCAGGAAATAGCTACTACAAACTACATGAGGATTTGCCCGTTTACCAGGCTGGCCCTGAAATTCTATTTAACTCAAGATGTAATTGAAAATTTATACACCTGCAGTGATTAGCAAACAGCAGAAAATAATACCATTAGTGAGAGACTTAGATGAAGAATACATCTACCCCAGATTTAGGAACAAAATGCAAAGACCACAAATGTCTATCTGACTCCCTATACATACCTCTCTTAGGGTATTTTAGGAAGGGTCGTCTCAATGAGACACCTGTATAAAAATGCCAACAAGCTAAGAGTCTGACAGCCACCTCTCCAACCTACAGTTATGTGACCTCATCTGTGAAACAGTCTTGCCTTCCTTCCAGGGGTAAAGTAGGGGCACTTGTGAGGATAAATTCATGCAGGGAAAATAAATCACTTTGTAAATAACAATGCATCATTTGATGTGAAACGTTACTACTTATTCATCCAGCAAACAAACACACTAGGCACTCTGCTAGGCACCAGGAGTTCAAAAATGAATAATCCAGTCAGTGTCCCCCATTGTCTAGGAGCCTGTGTCATTCCCCACAGCAATCTCTCCAGTCAGGTGTGTATCATCATGATGGAAACTCACAGGACGTTTAGAGTACCTGCCTCTTGATTAGCCCTGCTGGAGAAATTCCAAGCCCTCCTGGAGGCCTATATCATCCTGGGGTGAGTTAGAGTGGTAACCAGGGAGGAGGAGGGTAGATTGAATTCCCAGAGAGACCAAAGGACAGAAGAAAAAAGAGGCCTGAATCTGCCCTGATTAGCCTTCAGGACTTAGTATAGATATTTCTGAGTCCATAGCTACATGATTTTCCTTGGCCTCATTCTCCATGTTTAGCAACCACAGAGGCCTCTCCAGCAGCCCTCCAGGAAATAAGGGCAGCTGAAGATGTTTCAGTGAGTTCAGAAGGAATATTGAAGGCTGTTGCTCACAAAGTTAGTCCTCCACCCTACTCCAAACCCCAACTTTCATCCAACTACTGCCCTGGCCAAGGCTCTGCAAGAAGCAGAAGGTGGCAGGATGTATAGAAGCCTCAACTCACTTCCTCTGCTGTTTCCCAGCAATCATGCGACGACAGGAGACATAATGACCACCACTGCCAGCCCAAGACCTTGGCATTTCTGATACCTGGTGTTGCTGTTTGACACTGGTTACCCCAGCCACCTCCACAAAAGGCAGCATCTTTCAAAAGTAAAGTCCCTGCACCTGGCTGTATTTCCAGTCTCTCTTCTAAGAGAGGCTGCGACATTATTCTCCATTAAGACTCATTATAGCTCTTTCCTAATAGAGTTAAGGCACAAGGGAGCATGACTGGACACAGTTGCAGACTTTTCCACTCTCCTCTCTTTCCTCTGTACTTCCCGACTCAGGTGGGTGAGAAGAGAGACGGGAAAAAGAGCCCATCTGTCCCCGGCAGGAAAGGATAACATCTTCTTAATACCTTCAATCTACTGTCAGCATCAATTTGAAGGAAGCAAGTGACACGGCATTTTTGTATTACAAAAAGTAACTCTATGGGAAATCAAAAGACCTGGCTCTGGTGATGAATTTGCTGTGTGACCTTTGACAAGACACTTTGCTTCTCTGAGTCTCAATTTGTTCATCTGAGGAGGTGGGACTAAAATCTCTAAGGCCCCTTCTAAGAGTCTGTGAAGTCAAGTCCTGGAAGAATAACACATGACACCCACGACCTGTTAAAAATATCTCCCCCAAGTGGCTGCTCATGGGTATGAGGGGTTTTTTGGGGGGTGGAGGGTAGAGCATGATGGAAATGTTCTAGAATTACATTACGGTGATGGCTGCATAACTCTGTAAATATACTAAAAACTATTGAATTGTACATGTGAAATGGGAGAATTTATATTTTTTTTAAATTATAAATACACATAATTTAAAATGTACCATCTTTACCTTTTTGGGGTGCACAATTCAGTGGCATTAAGTACATTTACTCCGTTGTACTACCGTCGCCACCATCCATCTGCAGAACTCTTTCATCTTGTGAAACTGAAACTCCAAACCTAATACACAACTTCCCATTCCCCCTCCCCCTCCCCCCAGCCCCCGGCAACCACCATAATACTTTCTGTCTCTATTAATTTGACAACTCTAGGTACCTAATATAATTAGTATCATACAGTACTTGTCCTTTCGTAATTGGTTTATTTCACTTAATGTCTTCAAGGCACATCCATGTTGTAGCATGTGTCAGAATTTCCTCCCTCTTTAAGAGGAAATAAATACTCCACTGTATGTATGTACATATTACATTTTGCCTATCCATTCATCCATCGATGGACACTTGGATTGCTTCTACCTTTTGGCTATTTTGAGGTGGATGATTTTTATGATATGTAAATTGTATGTCAGTGAAGCTGTTAAAAATATAATCTCCCCTATCTGCCATGTAAGGGGTCTGAAATGATTTCCATCTTAGGATCATTCCTTAAGGGTCTTCACAAAAAACTCTGGAATTTAAACTAGAGAGAAGCATTATTTTCTATAAGACCAGTAACCTTTAATCAGATATTACTTTGCTTGACTATCTCATTATGCCATCCATTGTCATTTATTAAAGATCTGGGGGTAGGAAAACGCCACAAGAGGCAGAGAAAGGTTTGCAACAATGCCTGGGGGGTGGAGACAAGGGTTGTGGAAATACCATACTCTGTGGGCAAAGTGGAAGTAAGAACTTTGAGAACCTCCTTTGCCCGCTATGTCCGGTTTTACCCAAGACTGGCCTGGTCCTCTTTGGTCCCAGTGTAAGAGACACATCAAGGTTTTGCTTTGTAAAATTATACTACATTTCTTTCTCATGAGAAAATCTATATGAAGTCCCCTGAAACCAATGTGAAGACTCCCATCATAGAAGTGTTCTCAAGAAATGTTCATTTCCTACCACAAAAAAGGTTGAGGTCTTTTCTCTGAAACTAGATGTGATTTGCTAGTTACTGGTTTAGTAATGGACTTTCCCCCTTTAGTCTTTACTCTTGCTGCAGCAGAATAAACGGACTATGTGTGTTTGTAGATTTGAGAATCGTGCTCTGAAGCGTTTGGGATATGAAGAAAAGAATTATATTGTGTAAGGCAAGGGAACAGGCCGGACACGTTGGCTGACCTATGTTCACTCCTGAGGAGCACCCCTACACACATATTGCAAATATGTCCAGCCTTTTAACCCTACACTCCCCTAACCAGACATTCTCAACCCAGTTCCCATAAAAATCACTAGGAACCACTTAAAAAGACAGATGCCCCAGCCCTTCCCCAGAACAATTAAATCACACTCTCCTGGACCGGACGTGACACCGGTATTTTTCAAACCTCCCCTAAGTGTTTTGATGGTGCAGCCACAACTGAGAAACACTGTGTATGTCAAATTCCTTCAAGTTCAGCTTCCTTCCTCTGCCTCAGTCTTGTCTTAGTAATAAGAGTGATAACCTGTAGGTACTGTGATTTGTAAAGGTGGCCACAGTCACAGAGATGTAAGGAATAATCATAAGCCCACTGCTCTCCCCTCCCCCGCCCCACTGTGTTCATTTACTCACCCAGACCTTGACCTCTCCTCTGATACAACGCAAGTCTCTTTACCTCAAGACATTTCCCTCTGCTTAGAGTCCATGGGAACAAGCACTGGGCAGTTTGAAAGCACAGAGGAAATGAGGCAAATTCAGCCTGGAGGTATCTGGAGTTGAACCAGGTGAAGGCCAGGTGAACAGCCAGGGTGTTCAGGAAGAGCATACACACACACACACACACACACACACACACACACACGGGTTGAGACGCAGACTGGAAGCCAAGGAGTCAAGGAGGGGAGGTGGCTGAAGCCCAGATTGCTGCTTGGGAATGGGGGAGGGGTGAGGCAAGAAAAGGGCAGGAGAGAGAAAGTGGAGGCCAGTCACCAAGCACTTTGCAACTGAGGCTAAGCAGTTTGGATTTACTCTGATAGCAAATGGAAGCCATTGAAAGGTTGTAGATGGGGGAATGCCATGATGAGATTTGTTTTTATAGGAGGATGGAAAAGGGCCTCTGAACTCCAACAGTACCTTTTATCTGTATGTTTTGGGTTAGTTGTCATGGACCCACGTAATCTAAAAACTCTTAGGCGGTCCTGAAGATGATCAAAGCCCAACTCTTTTTTTTTCTTTTTTTTTTTCAGACCAGAAAGACCAGTTTTATAGGAGACCAGGACTGACTCCTAATACAGTGCTTGTTACTCTCTCTTCTGCTAACAAAGTTCCACAAAAACAAGGAGTCATTCTACTACATAATACATAGTCAACCCAGTATGTACTTTT